TAAATATTTATATTTATATCTATAAATATTTACAGTGTTTGAAGTACAGTCAAGCCTCTGCAAATACATGCACTACATTCAAATATTACAGCAATATTTAAGGAAGTGCAGATAAGACTCTCCCTTGCATCCTTCTTAAATATATATGCTAAACGAACAAAATGGCAAGCTACGGAGAGCTCCATTCTTTTTCTCCTTTGAAGAAATTTTGGAAAAAAATCCAAAAAATCCCTATTAAAACAGAAACATTGTAAAATTCTTAATACAACTTAGAAGTCAGCTGCTGCCAAATGGCATCATGCTTCTTCCCCCTACTATAATCTACGTGTTCATGTTGTCTTTCTTGAACCAAACCTAACAACTCCATGAGGGAGTTCATGGAAACAAACTTTCTTGCTAGTTTGACAGAAAATGTTATTGTTATTTTTTGTAGGATCAAAAAGGGTTTATATCTTCTACAAAATAGAATATGACTGGTCACATGCAACCTCGTAGCCATGCACAAAAGCTCTTAGGGTTTGGAAGGGAGAAAAAGAGCAGGACCACTCCTTTCAGTTGCAGAATTACATAAAGATCAAGTTTATTGTGATACTGTGGAACAGGTGGACCTAAACAAAAAGTCTGTAAGTCATATTGCTAATGTCTAACCCTGATAACACAGCGTTAAAACAAGAGTCTGTGTAAGTTTACAGGGATGACCAGATGAGCAGTGGTCTTGTGTTGTGAGTGAGGTTTTTTTTTACTTCCTCTTAAAAACTGAAAGAGGAATAGGGGGAAAATGCAGCAGTGTGAACCAAGGTAAAAAGACTGACTGAAACAGATCAAAGCTGAAGAATACAAACAATATAAATACACTCAATATAAATATTATGCTTGAATGGACAGTTGACCTAAGTACCCCTCACACAGTTATGGAAACACAGCATCGGGCAGAGGGAAAAGGGCTTACATGAGCACTGACACCAAAGGGAAGTACAAGCTATGCCCTGGGGTAGATTAAAAACACAGTCTTGATACAGATTTAGTGAAATGACTGATTCTAAAGCAGATGGGAAATTGTGAGTGACCAGTAAGAAGCAGCTAAAGTAGGAATTCGGACAACAAGATGAATGAAGGTGATCAGACAACACTAAAACCAGATGTATTATGGATAATAGAACCTTGCCAACAAGACATTAATTTTTGGCTGACCACGTAATGACAATGAAGGAGAGATAACTAGTTTACAGCTTCAAGAGCATAGACCTGCCTACAAATTCAGATGCAATTATAAACTAACTGAGAAATAAGGGTATTAATTAGTTCCAGTGCTGAACACATTACAAATTTCCTCCTCACAAGATATAGCTATTCACAGGGGCACACTCTTGCATTTACTGTAAAGACAGTATCTGGTGGGGAGACAGCTAGTGCAAATTTAGGTCAGAGAAGGGAAGATTAATCATACAGCAGCCTCCAAATAACTGTTTAGTTATGTTCTGAATTAATAAACTCCTCCTATTTTCACCTAGGATGAGAATGACAGAACCGAAGATTGGATGGCTAAAAAGAGTAAGGGTCAATGAAATCAATGTGAAGAATGCAAAGGTCAGAATAACCTCTTTCATAGAGGTCTAAGAGAACTGGCATGTAAATGCAGGTCTAGTAGTAAGGGTTTTGACTAAATTATCCAGTAAGCATGGATACAATATGATACAGTGCCAGTTTTTAAAACCTGGGGGAAGCAGAGCAATCAAGGCAATTGTCCTGGAGTTCAAACTAATATCTGGAAACTAAGCCCAAGCTGTCACCTGTAAGAAGTTACATGTAGCAGGTTTCCACAGGGAGAACTTTTTTTGTGTGTTTTGTTTGTGTGTTTTTAACTAATGGTTAGAAAAATTAGAGTTCTCGTGTATTTGTTTGCCTTTGCACTAGCACTAGGGAGGATGTGTTTGGGTATCCACCAGCTTGCAGACCTGTGCACATTGCAACTAGTAGGAAACATGAAGATTACACACAAGAGAAAGCTGGAAGGTTCTTTGCAAGATAAAAGCCTTTTTTTCCTCCTGTTTTTTGACATATAGAAACTAAATCTAAACTTGTTAGCGTTATCCTCATAAAGATTTATCTATACTGTTCTTGATTTGTACAGTATTGTTCTCTCAAACTGCCACTGTGTTGTTCACATGCACACAAACTCTACACCGTTTAGTGATGAACTCTTCAGCAGCTAGAACAAATTAAAGCCCCCACTGGCAAAAGACAGAATGTTCACTGAACCCTGGCAAGCCTCTTCCTACTCCCTGTGAAGGATGTGCAGTGAACTTACAACATGACTAAGGAGGTCCCAGAAAATATTTCAGTCACCTGTGTCACTTAATCCTCAGTCTGTCATGATTCTTGAAGAAAACAGGTTATACAAGGAAATGAGAGGCATTAGAAAACAAGTAAATAACAACAACAACAAAAAAAACTAAACCTCCACAAGTCTGTTGATGCAAAGCTGGAAAGTAGCTTGGTGCCAGTGGTGCTGTGACAGTGACTTCAGGCAATGCCAAAGAAATTGGAACTCCCACAGACCACATAGCACTGTCTGAAGAAATGTACACTTCACTGAGCTCTTCTTGGCCTGTTAATTAACCTTCATGGTAGAAGGACATGAACAGAGCTCGCTAACTTGATTTGGCCAAAGCAAACACAGAGCAATTTATGGTACTGGGGCGAGAGGAAGCCTTCATGGCATGCTTGAGTGAAAATCTTTGAAACATCTGCTGATTTATGTTTCAGTGAGACTTAATGACTGTGATAAGTGGCACTGGCAACACTCCTCAGGCTAAGCCTTCTCAGAACGGACTGTTTGAGTCTTGGTAGGAGCTTGGGCTTCAAATGGCCAAACTGGCTCTAAAAATACGTGTTCAAAATATCTATACATCATGTTAGCCCACAGTTACTGGGATACCTTTAAGAATATTATTTTGAGCTAAGGAGAGTGACCTGAACATTGTGATGCCAACTTTAGTTAACCATTTAACATGCAGCCAGTGCTGTGGAAACTCCAGTTTCGTGTGTGTGTGTGTGTGTGTGTGTTACCTTGACTTCAAGGTTCAAATGAGATGGCACTGGTGAGGGTGGGGAAACCAGCCACTGATTGGCCCAGAAAAGAAGTTCTGGAGTCATGATCTGGCAAAGGTCATAAGCTTAACTAAGCCAAAGAATAAAAGATCCCATTAACCAAAGCAGAAGTGGTGGAGCTGATTCTGACCCTCTTTTTTAAGCCTTCAATAAGGCACTGGTAGATCTTGGACTCTGTGTATTTTTCACTATGCTATACAAGCACTTTGAATCCTCAGACCACAAACTATAGCAGTCAGTAACAAATTAAACAACAGGTCAACACAAAAAAAATAAGGTAAAAGACAAAAGTATTCATGCCTGACAGTAAGGGCACTAAGGTTTAACACAAAATAGTGTTAATGAACATTAAAAATACTCAGAAAAGTAAGAACGTTAAATAAGCAGAAAACAAGACTGAATAGCTAAGGCTGCCCTTGATAAAGATACAACAAAACATGTCAATTCTTATGTACAAAAGAATGGATATAGGGCAAAAGTAATCAATTCCTATAATGGGCATGATACAAGCAAAACTTCATAGGACTGCTAAGTCTACATCTATCACAGTGTGCATTTGGGCAATAACTCAATATAATGTGGTAATGACATTTGTTAGTGACAGAAAACTGAGAGACCTTGTCAATACAAAGTTTGTAATATTGTACAAAAAACAAATCCCTTTGAGGATTGCAGCAATGAAACTGGATTAAAATCAACAGTAGAAATGCAAGGTCATGCACTTATAGACTAATAATATTTCTGCCAGAAGATAGGAGTGACAGTTGTAAATAACACAAAAGGAGAACTACTAGGGCACAGTTACTGATCACAAAATGACTGTGAGGTCTGAGTCTGACACTGCTAGGTGACTAGGTACATATAAACCCAGAAAGATTCAAGAGGAACAGGGAAGTGCTATTCTACTGAGCCATAGTAAGGTCTCATCTGGAGTCATATACACCTTTGACCAAACATTTTCTAGAAAGATTCATTCAAGCAAGAACAGGCAGAGGGTGAGGGCCTTGTTGGAGAATGGAAAAATGATCTCACAAAAAGAGAAACACTGTGTTAGGCAGTGTCTTACAGAGACAGCCAGTTCAGGTACCAGCACGAGTTTAGCCACATTATTAGAACATACTATTCACTGTAGATATTCATACACACATAAAATATATATGTTGCAGTAATCTGGCTTGCTTTGGCTAGAAAAATGGAAGAGATGGAACATTCCTTGAGATGCAGAAAAGAACTATGACAAATATGTAAGAAAAAAGGCACAGGAAAAAAAACTAGTTACATTATTTTACAGTGTTGACACAAAAAATAATGAGACCCTACCAAAAAAAACCACAACAACAAAGAATAAAATTATTTAGCCAGACAGCTACAAAAGAGTTTTGTATAGTTTGAACAACGAAGGTTTGTAATAACAAAGCTAGCAATGCTTTATTTTGGTGCCACACAAATAGTCTTTAGAAAAATGGGTTTAAAACATATATGTTTCTTCAGCCTGTTCAAATACCCTCAAGGCCTAAGAGATCTGTCAGCCTTACAGAATACACATGTAAATCTCAAAAATGTACTTTCTCTCTTCAGCGTGAAGATTCAGAAGAGACCGAAGAAGTAAAATTTTGATGTGTGAAGATTAGAAAAGGGTCACCTTTTTAACTTTACCACTTTGATAACAGATTTAAAGAGCTCCCATAACAACCAGATTAAGCCACAGATGTAAAACACTTGTATTTCAAGGATATGTGTTCCTTTTTTTTAAAAATATGCAACATCTGAAGAGCAAAGAGGAAGAGAAAGTTACTTACAGCAGTTGACAGCCGGGATGCCAAGGTCATTTCCAAATTTCCTTTGAGACCAAGAAGTGCAGGAACCAAGATAAAAACTTCAGTAACATTCTTGAACACATCCCAATGCTATATAAACGATACAGTGGGAAACATTCAATTGAAATATTCTCTTTAGACCATCCAGAAAGTATTCAAAAGACTCTGTAACTCATAAATTAATCCTCTAAAAACAAAAATCAATCTTTTTGTATTAGACCTGAAAGTTTAGAGCCAGAATTGTTATCTATCTAGATAAAATAGACTTATGACTGCATATTACTACTTCAAAGATGAGAATATCAAAAGTAAGAGATATCGAGCTTGGCCTCAAAACAAACTTATTTTAAAAGGATGCCACTAATCTGAAGTTGTTTTTTTTTTTTTTATGTCCACGACTTTAAAATAGTACCAGGTATTATGACTGCTCCTAAATTCTGCTCTCAATTTACAACAATATTGTCTTCTTTTCCCTTCTGGTTGTGTAGAAACCTCATGTAAAAACAGCAAGGAATTAGTTGTCAAATGAACAGAGCGTGTAAGTGAAAACAGCTTATCTTTAATTTTTTTACTTCTAAGTGTGAAATTTAGAAGAAAAGTTTTCCAAACCCCAGATTTTATAAAGCAAACTCTCCCATAACTTTTCAGGCACTGAGTTCTCAACACTGAAATAATGTGCTACTTTGTGTCTGTCATTCCATGTATTTAGTTTCCAATCATTTACCAACTTTAACAAAAGTGTAAATTGTCTTTGTATACAATGATTTGCAATCACTTATTATTATTTTAATTTTGAAAAAGGGATTCAGTTTGCTAATGTAAACAAGATCTGAGAATTACCCACATGTGAAGTTTCTTATGTATTTACTACTGGGAAAGAATAGCCATGAAGTAGTCTGTAAAAAACAAGCTTAGAATGCTTTGCTGCCTTCAAATTTTCATTTTCAAAGCAAGTTCTCATGCATTTCAAAACCCTGCTTTATTGCAATCACAATTTAATGTTTAGTTTACAGTGAAAAAAAGGTAGTACTGACACCAGCAATTTATTTTTGTCTTTGTGCCACAGCTATCCCATTTGTGGGGAGCTGGATAGGGAAGACTATAAAGATGAAAGGTGATTTAAAAGGAAAAAAATCAAGACAAGGTGAAACATTTTGTTGGAAGCCAGTAGTGGAGTAGGCAAAACATCCTCTTTTGGCTGATCTTTGCACTGTCTCATGCAGTAAATCATATGTTCAGTACAAACACAGCATCTGTACAAAGAATAAACTGGCAAGATGTAAATGGACAAAGCACAAGATTGGTGTAAGACAGTGCAAAGGAGCAGTACAGTCTGCATGTCAACTTTAAGTTTCCTTCTTCTTGATGTATAAAAATGTCTCTTCATTGCAATTGCTTCAAGTCCAAGCTTCCTTTACCTTCTCAAGATTTTGACTGACAGGCACCACTTACCCCTCTCTAACATTATTAATTCTTTAAGTGCAGGTAAAGAAAACCATAAAGCTGAATGAAACAATGGAAAACAAAAGGGAAAATAAAAAAAGATATTAGTTTCTCTACTGTTTTTCCATTTTAATATTCTGATTTTTTTTTTTTTTTTTTTTTTGTGAATGTACTCATACAGGAAGACAGAATCCATGAAGTTTGTATTTATAAGAAATTTCTGGGTACTAAAAAACAAATTAGGCAGGAAATAAAAGTAAACATAGCTTCCAAAACCCAAAACTCATCTGTATTGCAGCATCACGGTTAATTGCAATTCCCACTTGACTGTGTATACATTTATTAGTGTCAACAGAATTTTGAACCATTACTGTATTTCTATCCTTCATTAAAGCAGAAGATAACAGTTTTATTTATCAGCTTGCTGCAGCTAAGTGACAGCACTTACCATGACTTGAATGATTCCAAGTTAAACATTGGAACAGTTTAAGATGAGTTTGGGGAACAGGAGTTCATAGTAGCCAAACCACAGACAGATCTAATTACTGCTCAATATTGTAAATATCTACAATATCACGCCTTAAAATTACAAACCTCACAGACTACCTGTTAAAAAAAAATCTTCAAAAACAAATACCAACCTGTACAATATCCAAAACCATGCCAGCAGAAACAGTTCCAAATCCTGCTAGCAAAAAAGGTACAAGTATCTGTAATGCCATAATACTACTAGACTCTTTGGGTTGTTTTCTACTTCCTTCCACAATGATATCTTCATTACTGTCACTGGAGAGGTTGTCTTCCTGCAACATGGCATCTGTTTCTGAACTGTCCATTCCACCACAGTAATTATAACTGGCAAAATCATCATATTTAGGGCTACAGGCAGATGGGCTGAGCCCATTACTGCCATGAAAACTTGATTCCAAGAGGTGATGGTACTCTGCATGTTGTTCAGACCTACCATTAAAATTGTGTCCTGCTGGTTGCAATCCATCTTGCCAGACACCATTCACTTTTTTATGTCTTTCATCCTGGTTTATTTGGTAAACAACAGGAACCATACTCAAAAGCAGTCTCAAAAATCTATCAGATTGAATTGTATTAAAATTTATGGTCCACTTTACAAAACCTTCTCTGTCATGAACTTTGCTATTTGTTTTGGAGATGGCAGATCTACCTTTACAGTTAGTCATAGTGCTACAGAAGTACAGGTTGAAAAGCACTTTGTTCTTCAGGTGTCAGCAAGGAAATCTTGTAGATGAGTCATCGATTGTCACACTTGATTTTAAAACAGATAAACCAAAATGATCCTTTTTTGCACGTAGAAATGTTCTTGCATTGATCTTGGATCTGCAACAATTCCATAGGCAAAACTGTATCTGCCAAAAAAGTAAAAATTATATAGTCAAACTTTAACGTACTTTAACTCTACAGAAGACACAAGATACTGGTTTAATTTTTTCACCCAATATGTTTCCATAGCAAATATTTGTAGAAGTGCTAATCTCCTCCAACGTTCAACTGCATAAGTTGAAATAAAGTAGAAGTTAAAAAGGGAAAGTTGGTGGGTGGGGAAGTTTCACAAACTGGTGTACTTTCCAGTGGAAGAAAGAGACAGTGATGGGGACTGTAAGTGAATTGGTGAGGGCCTCACTTTTTGCCTTCAGGCAGATACTGTGTGTAGCCTTAGGCTTCCAGTGGCCTTGAAGGCACAGAGACAAGTTTTTCTGGGAAGTGCAAGGGTATGGTCAAATGGAACCCACATGGTGAACTGTGGGGCCACTGTTGTTCATCCCACTCTGTGCTAATGGCAAGGAGCCAGTAAAAAATAAGGTCAAACCCCCTCAATTTTCAAAATTTTTTCAAAGGTGGTAAACCCAAAGCAATATTCTGGGTGGCAAAGGCTTAAGGTGTTGAGAGTCCCTGCCCAACCATCCCCATAAAAAGATGGCAAACTGGTATTGATATGTACAATCGAAAAGTATGCTAATTCAAAAACGTGCTAATGCATGCTAAATTATAATAATTGATTTTCCTCTGAAACATAGACATTATTTTAATTATAAAGAGCTACTACACACAAAGTAAAACTGGATATTTTTTCATAAAATACTACTATATCAAGGAAAGAAGACAGCAATGGAATTCAGATCAGTTAGTCTAAACTAGTTTAAATCAGTCTAGTCTAAACTTACAGTACTGTATTTATAAATAATGCATGTTAAAAATTATTAATTATTAATATATTAAAAGTTAGGAATCAGGGTAATTAAAGGATATGTAAAAATCTTATTTTAATTTAATTTTTCGCGGGTTGCGGGTATTTCCTGAAAGATAGGTTATTCTGATGTCTAGTAACCGCTAAAATACAATTATTTGTTCAATGTTAACACTATCATCAGTTTGGTTTGCTTTCTGCAAATCATGCAGATGTAACCCTTTATCTTTCATGTTTAATGTGACTTAGTGTGCATTTGTTTCTATTTTGAAATCTCTATTATGGCAGAAAATGCAACAATGATATATTGGCAGTCCCAAGTCATTTGATGTTTCCTCCTTCAGAAGCCACTTTACCTTCCTCTTCTTCAGTTTTCATGTTGTGATAGTAGTTACGGTAATTTACCAAAAGAACAGTCTTAATTTGACTTGAAGCTTTGTTGACTTTGGTGTTTATTAGTAGACTCCATGAATACAAGTAAATGATTTGCACAAACAAAGAAACAAAGGTCAGCAGGCTACATCAGCATGCTGTGGGATAACACAATTCCACAAGCTCAAGACACTGTCTCTAGGCAAAGCTGTGAAAACATACGTTTACAGACTGCAGGAAATAAAAATAGTTTAGGGTTGGAGGACTTTTAATTTATGTTTTCTAAGAAAATTTGACTCCTAAGATCATACCACTCATGTTATGATCCCTGTCCTTTCCCTCCTTTTGTTTCAATGTTTTTAAGTCATCCAATATTTCTGGAGCAATTTCGGATAGAGTTGACAGAATAGAAGTCAACTTCAGAAGTCCCACTGCTCAAGGAATTTGTGGGGTTTTTTTTGAGAAAAAAGACGACTTAGATACAATATAAAGGCTTTCCCTCTGCTAATTGCTTTATCCAAGGGCACTCTGGCCAAGAAGTAAATATTTAGAAGATGACAATGGCATTTATTGCTTGATTTAGAAAGAAGTTTTACAAGAAAAAAACTATCTTTTTTCCACATAACCAACAGAAGAATTTAAGTAACCAAGATTTCTGCTATATCTTTTGTATGAACCTCATGCAAGTGCATAAAAAACTCCTAGGCCTTAATTCTGTTTTCCACACACTTTAATTAGAAGTAACAAAACAACTTTTGCTGCTATCCCAGAGGAGCTCTAGCCGCAGACCAAAATGCTGCTCTGTTAAGTGCTACAGAAAGAACACGAGGCAATTTTGTTTCTTCCTGGCCTCAATGTGGCATTATCTATGTAAAAGGGGGAAAAAAAAAACAAAAGGTGCATAAGAAAAGGCAATCAGTTGTATCATGAAACTATCAACTATTTTAAACTTCTGTGACAACAGCAAAGAGATTTATGGAAGGATCAAGAGGAATACAAGAAAAGAGAAGTTCATGGAAGCTGAGGAAAATACAACTTTTAACAAGGGTTTAGCCTAGAGGGCCGAAGGTTGCCAACTGCTTTATGACAATGGGAGATGGCACACTACTTAAGAAGCTTGCAGGAGGGATAGCTTTTGATTACTTTAACCAGCTGAGTTTCATCTGGTCACAAAAACCACCTAGCTCAGAGAAACTTTATGATTGAATTCAAGCATGTGATGTAGAGTTAAGATGTAACAGTATTCATGATGAAAGACTTATTTTAAACCCCAGAACCCCACTGGTGTTTTTGGAGGGTGGTGGTATTTTTTTCTGAGAGGGGAGCGGTAACAAATGAAAGATTTTGTTTCACTCACAGGGAAATACATTGAGAAAATTTCCCAATAGCTTTAACAAGGCAGAGTCTGGCTCTCATTGTGGTTTCTCCAATATGTCCTCCAGTCACATCACAAGAGTGCTAAACCAGTGACTCATGGATATTACTCATTGGTCCAGAACTTTGACAAAAAAATATTTGGGTTAATTACCCGTTTCTCCTTTTAATTTCTCACTGTGTTGGGTTTTGTTTGTTTGGTTGGTTTTGTGTGTTTTGTGGGATTCTTTTTTTATTTTTTTTTAAGTCTTCTGGGAAGGTTGTGCTTTCAGAAATGAATCATTCAACCAATAAAAGGAGGAAGAGGCTGGCATGAGCAGCTAACAGTTGTATAGTACAACATAGTTAAGCAGTTTGGATGACATTTGTGGTTTTCCTACCAAAAAGATTTGGAGTGAGTTAATGATAAATGAGGAAAACCAAGAATTTACAAAGAAAGAGAAACTGAAAAATGCACCATACATAGTATAAGAGAGGAGATAATTATGAAGCCTTCTGAATGTATCTAGTCTTTGCTAAAAACCTGTTCAGATAAAGATATTTTCCCAAATGTCATCTGATGCAATAATTTAATCCGGAGTTACCTGACATTAATATAACTGTTGGGGCGGGGGGGCAGGGCTGGGGAAAGAGCAGTGTTGTACCTACGAAATGTGGCAGTCCATCTAGGGAACAGTATGATCTCAGGCACAAGAACTTTCTAAGAAGCTTTATCACTGACAAGAACAACGCTGATTTTATGGTGTGGTCTAAAGAAGATAAGGCCAGCTAAAAAAGCAAGCTCTACTTGATTAAGTTATAAGAAGAAAAGGAGGTAAATACCTCAAAAATCTCACCCCCACTTTCTGTAGGAAGAGGATAAGTGAAACTAGTTTCTTTCAAGATATCTTGTAATCAGGAAGTTACAGAGAAAGATGAAGCACTAAAATAAAAAAAAAAAAAAAAAAGACAAGATCCTTTGAGAAGCCAGGAAGCAGCCTCCAATTTATCATATCTGGCATGTTACACATGAAATGAAAGGACACCTTGTCTTTGTCCCTACAAGCAAAATAATGAGCTATGCCCAGACTATGAAAATAATTTCCATTTCTTTATTTTTTCCTAAGTACCTCCTTTTAATAGTTTCTTCTTCTCCATCTTACGTTTTATACCACATAACAATTACTGTATATCATTCACCTTTCTCTCTCAGTCCTGCAACCATACATAAACAAACACAAATAGACCTGCAAAAATAAACAAATGGGAAATTCAGCCATGCCCTGATGTGTGCTGAGGACACGTTCCTGAAAAATGAGGTGCTTAGTAATTCAACAAATAACAAAACAATCTTACCCGTAAGAATCAAGAGAATTGATTCCTACAGCAATTTAAAAAATACACACGGACACAGTATATACAGTGTGGAAAAAGAACAGGTAGAAGCAGATGCTGTGGAAAATAGAACCCTGAGCTGGAAGAGATGCTGACTTTTGGAAATGGAGTGCTGTTTTAGAAATATCTCAGATACTTCAGCTATAAAACTGAACACCTGATCATGATCACGTTTTTTCATCCTTCAGCTTTGGTTAACCTTGGTTCATCTGAGGAATATGAAGATGACAAAGAAAATGTAACTGTTCAGGAAGAGGCAGCAAGAACTCTCTTCATTATTACCCAGACAAATTGCCAACATTGTTTCAGACACGCCCATGATTCAGTTCTCAAGAACATGGGAAGGAGATGCTTCTTCTATGCATTCCCAGGGTTTCAAGAACATCTAGCAGTAATGGGATTAAGCAATCAGTTTCTACAGCCAAATTTGATCATATAGTGATTAGACTACTGATAATTTATTTAAAGCATGAAAACAATTAATAATTAAATCACCAAGCTTTTAAAAATACTTCAATAAAAGGGGAAGGGGGAAGAATGGTTATTTCACGGAGTATGAAACTTTTATAGAGTCAACATTGTGACAGGCTCAAATATTTGTCAAAGTCTAGATCTAGTAAAAATAATTTTCTGATTTCTTTGAGAGTTTGTCTAACAAACGCAAAAGATAACACCTATCTAAGTAATACTGGGGGCTTTCACAGGATCCAAAGCTAATCACAATACAGTCAAAACCCATTTTTCCTAAAAGTGGCTAACATTTTTTTACAGGTAACTTTTTAAGGCAGTAATTATCTCTGTGTTGCACTTCTAGGTAGTTCACAATAAAATACAACAGCTTAAACATGTCTGGCTGAGAAACACCTCTCAGCATAAGAACAAGCCTTGGAAACGGATTCACTAAAGTATTATGAAACATTAGTGAAATACTGAGCTTTAATACTTTGCCATAATAAGCAGTGACGAAACTGGACTCTCCTCTGGCTTCAAA